TATGACTGGCTACTACCACTCAAACATTGTTTTGGGATATAAAATAAAAGTTATATAGTGTTTGACGAAAGGGATTGGTGATACTACTCAAATATTCAAACAATATTTTTCTCCCCGGTGGCTCATAATGAACGAAAGCACACTTTTTTTTTAAATAGTTTTTTGTGCCAGGTGACAGTTGAATGCCACTTTTGTCTAACTTGACTCTTTTTGTATGTGCAAAATGCAAGTGCTAGTGCTGACACATAGTGAATTTTTGCCACAAGGGTCTTATTCATGTTAGGGACTACATGACAGGGCTGTGTGGTCATCTCTCTATCAAATGACAATTTTAATGCGCTATCCTGGTTTCGACCAAGCTCTTCGAACGCATATCGGTCTAACAACATTTTTGAGATAATTCTAGCATACATGTACATAATTAATAATATTGTTTAAAAAGACTAATAATATAATAACTGCAGTAAACAAATCCTCCCATAGTGTGTTATATTAATATGTTAAATGATTCATTATTGACAATTATTCTTATTATAAAACATCCTATTCAAATATATGCACATAAATTGAAATAAGTACATAAGTAGTACCTCGTGGCAAACATGTGTGTACTTTACTTATTAGTCCCCGTGCGTCTGTGTGTCCGTGCGTCCGTCCGGAGTCATATCTCAGAATCCCTTGGACCGATTCCGTTCATTCTTTACATGTGCCTAGTACTTTATGTGGGACATATGCACATGCAGTGGTTTAGCGATTCGATTCAAAATGGCCGACTGGCAGCCATCTTGTTTTTTGAAAATGTTGTATATTGGACATGCTTTGTCAGTTTTCATTCAAATTTAGTACATAGATCATACATGTTAGGATACATGTCCCTGGCCGTCCGTGAGTTCCTGAGTTTTGTCCGTCCGTCCGTCTGTGTGTCTGTCCGTGCATCAGTCTGTCCAGAGTCATATTTCAGAATTCTGTGGACCGATTCCGTTCATTCTTTGCATGTGCCTAGTACCTTATGTGGGACATATGCACATGCAGTGGTTTAGTGATTCGATTCAAAATGGCCGACTAGCAGCCATCTTGTTTTTTGAAAATGTTGTATTTTGGACATGCTTTGTCAGTTGTCATTCAAACTTGGTATATAGATTATACATGTTAGGATACATGTTCATGACGATTTATTTCGCAATTGGATCAAAGATGGTCAACTGGCAGGCATCTTGTTTTTTTGTTTTTTATGCGGTATCTCTTTATGCGTGCTCTGTCAGTTTTCATTCAAATTTGGCACATACATGTACTTTTGACATGTTAGGATGCATGTCCATGACAATTTGTTTCAAAATCTGGTCAAGGATTGCCGATTGACAGCCATCTGACTTTTTGGCCTTACTACTATATTTCCACAATTTATGTACCATTTTCATTCACATTGGAACATACATCATACATATCAGTGTGTTTCGTATTCAGATCAAAGATGGACGAATAACGGCTGTTTTTATTTTTGGCCATATTACTACTACACGGAACACGTGTTTTGATGTAAATAAACAATCTGTTGTATACGCCACTTGGAACTCAAGTTTCAAGGACACGCTTGCGACAACCCCTCTGCTTTAATATGACGAGCACAAAGAGAACTTAACGGGGACTGTGTCATTTTCAATGACTTGTTAAACAAGCATTTGGCCTGGTATATACAACCTGTAAGTTTGCATGCCAACTTGGTATCTTTTTGTGACTAAACTAGAGAAAGTGGCCACTAGAGGGTGCTCACTTTCTGTTTCTAGCGGCATACTGGACTAAATACAGTGCATTATCATGGCAGTGCCAGTCTGTACATACACATCATCATGTATTACATTTCATTTGTATTAATGCTCCTGTTCAACGGTATGGTCAAAAGACAATTGCAAGATTAATTAAAATAAAAAAATATGACAAAGTATGAACCCTCCTAGTGTTTTCAGTGTTATCAGAAAATATAATTTATCCTAGTCATGATGAAATGACAGAATTGAAATCTTCAATAATGAAAAATCCGTCCATGTTATTTGCAGGAATATGAAGAATTGACAGAAAAACTGGATAACTTACAACTGACTGAACAATCCCTTCTGGACAGAATGAGCAATGGAAGAGCATCGCCATCACCACAACCGTCTCCAAATATCATGCCAAACATATTACCAACGATGATTCTACCACAATCTGCAAGACCAACAAACCCACAACCTAAATCACCCCATGCCAACCTTACAAGGGTTTGTCTACCAAATCAACAAAGAACTACAGTAAGTATTGATAGATGGATCTTGTACTGCTCCTTCCACAGTTATCTGACTAAAACTCAGTTCTTCTGTATTTTGACAATGCATTTATGTTTTAGCTTCAGATACCGTACTTATCATGGCATAAAAATATTCATGAAACTATCTAATGTGTCATGGCAATTATTTACAGATATCTAAACTCCAACAAAATACATATTTATAAGTAATTTCCCAAGTGTGTAATATATGATAATAATCATGGTGACGCGATGATCAACATCTAGAGGAAACTTTATATAGCCGTCGCACTAGTTTACATTCTACGCATGTTCGCACTGACCGGTTGGCAAGAACCAAGAACCAGTCGTTTGCACTTAAAGATAAAGTAACTGCGTTGTTCGCTGTTGTTGTTATTAAATATACATGTATCTGTTAGTTAAACAGCTTATGGTCAATGTTATTGCAAGCCTGTGTCGATCAGCGAGCAATGTTTGTTATCATACATTTGCATGCTGGTTGGCAAAAATGTAAACATATGACATCACAGTGATAGCAACAGTAGTAACTGACAATATACATTATCTATGCAATAGCAGTCACCATGATGATGAGATATTGACATAATCGTAGAACACTGTTGTGAAACAAGTCAAATGTGGTCAAATTTCAAATGTCACTTTTCTATGTGACTTTTCTGTAATTTGTTTTTTGCCTGAACAGAACCCTTGCTAAACTACTGCAAAGTCACAACTATTATAAATATGTCTGTGGCTATTTTAGTTTCTGTTTACATGTCTGTTTGTCTATATCGAAGGTCTTAATGAATAATTATGGCTAATTGACATGATTTGAAACAAACGCTATTGATTGGTGACAACTTGAACTTTCAGGTTTTGGGCATTAAGCTATCTAGCACTTGACATCTACATGTAGCATAGCATCCACATCATGTCACTTTCAATTGTGTTAAATTACTATCTTGTGCTGTCATCCATTCTTGCAGCACCATACAATACTTGGGTTTATAAGTCTAGTTTTTAAATGAATATTATTTTTACATTTAGGTTGTTGCTGTTGAAGGACGTACTCTTCGTGACTCTTTATCGAAAGCGATGCAGAGGAGAGGTTACTCATCTGAGACGTGTCTGGTTTTCAGGAAAGATACAGGAGGGCCTGTAGATTGGGATACAGACATGTCATGGTTAGAAGGAGAAGAAGTGAGTTAATAATGTTCACATGACATATATTTTTGTTTACATGACACACATTTATGTCCACATGACACACATTTATGTCCATGTGACACACATTTATGTCCACATGACACACATTTATATCCACATGACACACATTTATGTCCATGTGACACACATTTATGTCCACGTGACACACATTTATGTTCACATGACACACGTTTATGTCCATGTGACACACATTTATGTCCACGTGACACACATTTATGTTCACATGACACACATTTATGTCCACGTGACTCATATATTCACTTCTCGAGAGGAAATTTGGTAGGTGATAATTACCAAGCTAAACAACGTACTTACGTCTGAGCTTAATGTTTGTAAGTTTATCATAAGAAAACATATGTTTGTATCATGTTTTTACACGTATGTATAAATCTCACCATCATTCATTGGCGTACTGAATAGCTGTGGGTTATGTGAATCTTTATTAATTTTACAATTCTGAAATACATCAATTTGCAAAACATTGCGATATAAAATGATTTCTACATAGATTTAATGTTTTTGAATGTAAACTTAGGGGGTCAAAACAGCTGTGTAGCATGTGCACTAAATTGCATATTCAAATGTCATGGCTTAAAATTAAACACACTCCAGTATCAAAATCAGCAACAATTTTATTATATTTCAACTAAGGCCACACTGATTTAATTTTATGGATGACATCCTCTGGAGACCCCAAATCTAATGCAGGAGGGAGAAAAAAAAAAAAAAACCTGCCAAAAAAAAATAATGCTGCTAAAACCACAGGACTACGGAGCTGGTATAAAAATTACGTAATTATCATAAAAACAACAAGAAATAAATAAATATTAAATAAATATTAAATGAAGCAAAACTATAACAAATTATAAGAGGCTCGATATTGAAAAAAAAAACAACCAACAAAAATTTGGATGCAGAAAATTATGTACATGTATCTTTATGAAAATGTGTCATCTGATCAAAATACATGTATTACTGACTGTGTGTGCAAGCAAATTATCCAAATCAAAAAATGAAAAAAAAAATAATAAGAAACTTTTCTTCATCTCAAAAGCAGACTTAGCCCGAGGACCTTCCTCTGCTTTCGTTGCAGTTTTGTCGGCTTCAATGCGGACAAAGCAACTGAACTGACTTGTTGCCTGACTGACTTTTAGGCCATCATACACCTCCACTCCTCTCCCATTTTTCTCATCATTGCAGAAGAAACGCGGGACAGCCACTCTGGACAATATGTCCTTAAAGTTGTCTGGGCGAAACTCGCTAGCTGCTACCAATCTCTCGTATAGCTATGTAAACGTCACATCTCCCTGGCCGACATCAATTTCGTAGCAGTCTACAACAATCCCTCCGTTTTTTCTCTGTACTTTTATGCTCACGTATTTTGGTGGCTTGGTCGCCATGTTGGAATTCCCGGCAACGCAATACACATGTGCAGAAGATCATTTATGTCAAAATTGGGTCGTTTTGAGTTAGTCCAAAACGAGTTTTACGACAAGCCGGCGCTTTGCGACAATATGAGTCGGCAAGTTCTGGACAGAAAACCAATCTGTGGAGACTCGTCGTCGTTGATTTTTTTTTTTTTTTGAGAACAGACGAAAACTAATGCACACGCGGATGTCATCCATAAAATTAAGTCGGTGTGGCCTAACTTGCGATAAAAGTAAAAAAAAAATAAAAAAGGAAAAATGTTGGCAGATGTGATTCAAATGTGAATGTGATTGTAAGCTAATAATAAAAGAACGTGTTCTCAAAATTCAAAATAACTTTTTAAAGGTCTATAAAGGTTTTATCGTATGCCTTATAGGTGTAATTACAATTTTACCACGGCGTGACCTTAAATACATGACGTAATTTATAATGACATGTGTTGTTTTGATGAAAACAAGGCGTGCTAGGCCAGGCATGATATGGGAAAATATGTCCCTCATGTGAGGGCGCACTTACTATAGGGTAACAAGGCCAGACAATACTAGGTATATGATAAATGCTATAAACAGCGATATCTCTCTCTCAATTACCGTATTTGTTCTATTAGAAGCACATACATGTATAAATCGCCAAACCCTGGATTTGTTGTTTATTGAATTATTAAAATATTACATGAATGGACCATATAGTATATACGTAAGTGCATATACTATCAACAGAGCAAATATTGTATCATGTACTGGTACATTCATCAGCATCACTTACTTCATGAATATAATTTTTAAAAATATGTAGGAAATTCATAAATGGTCTATTGTTCCATTGTACTTTACTTGGTTGAATTCTAATGCGTGTGTTTGCCAAAAACTTCCATCAGAATCTGGAGTAGCTCAGTCTGTCTTACATGTACCTGCTGTGGTTTATGTAGGTTCAAAAATCAACGATTTCAATCATTTAGGAAGAACTCTACTATAAGTGAATATGTTAGTGAAGTTTATGCGAGAGATCTTGACATGGGCCAAGTGTTGGGGCTGAGTTGGCACATGTTGGTAAACAAATTGATCTTGGTCCCAATATAGAGTCAAGATGTCGAAATCGAAATCATGCCCTCAGTGGTGAATTTAAGAGACTATAGTATATATTGATTTCTAAGTTTTTATGACAGCTATGTTGATAAAACTACACAATCCAATTATCCCAGTATTCTATGTGAGTTTGCACACTGTACAATTCACTGTGGTGGTTTGAATACCAGCACCAACCAAGAACAAAATGAATGCAAAATGTTGTGGGCGACTTTCTTATAGTGCTTACATTGACATGAACAAAATGGTTTTGTTTTGAATTCTTCTTTGCTGTTTTTTTGCACAATGATTAGTAATAACAGCAAATAGCATCAGGCACAAGTACAGAACAGAACAGAAGAACATAAAGTCTTGCCATGTTTGGGTCAATAGATTGTCGAAAGAGAGTACAATTTCAACATGAGCCCAGTGCATCCTAAGTGGGTCCCAACCTGAGAGCCACATAACATGACGCAACTGCTGGTATTGTAAACATGGCTAAGACAAGCTAGACTAGTGTATGTGATCGTGAACAGTCCACGCTATGTGATAGTATGGCTGTCTTAATTTGACTCAGACAGTCAAGTTGCAATTATGTCGTTTCAATTAAATATTGCCTTTATATGTTTGTCATGCATCAAGACTCTTCATTGAGACCATTTAAATTCACATTTTGTCTGCTGTCTGAATCATCTGTAAATGAAAAAGGGAAACAAAAAAGCGTTTGTGATGTCAGATATAATGGAGACACAGAAAAAATGATCACATGACCAAGAGTGATATAAATACTAAAATATTTCTTCCTTTTGCATTTCAGCTTTTAGTACAAGTCAATGAACACTTCCGAGCAACAAGTAGTATATTACATAATTTTGTAAGTTTTTTCAATTGTTTGTTTTTGTATTTTATAGAAAAAACTGTATTAAGAATCATGTGATCACTCTGATGTAGTAAAATACTTGCAATTTGAAATATTAGAAGTGCATCTAGAAAGCACTTGTAAAGAAGTTTGCTGATTCTGTTCTAAACTTTTTGGATTTCGGCATTCCCATGATGTATCATTGTGAGAAAAAGATGTATAATAATAAAGTTATTGCGAGGATACTGAAAAGTATGCACTCAGACAGTATGCCCTCGCGTCAACCTCTGCTGCGCGTTGGTCGATACTCCCGCTGTACTGTTTTCGTGCATACTTTACCGTCTCCTCCTAATAACCTCATAAAATATTGGTTGTCTCAGCTTTACTTTATTTATGTTTTTTTCTCAGGTTCGGAAAACATTTTTCACATTAGCATTTTGTGATAGTTGTCGTCGACTTCTATTTCATGGATTTAAATGTCAGACATGTGGCTATAAGTTCCATCAACGCTGTGCCCAAGATACTCCCCCTCTTTGCGTATCAGGCAATTTTTATAAAATGTAAGTAATACATGTACATGTATATGTGTTTGTTTGTGTGAAACAGTGGGGTTTTCTTATTGTCTCTTTGGTAACATGTCTTCCATGCGTTTCTCTTTAATGTTTATGTATACTGTACAAAACATTGTTCATTTTAGCTAGCATGTTATCTTAGCTAATTAGCTATCATGTTTTCTTTGGTGAAGTTAATCACAAATTTAAAATCGCAAATAATTTGTGCAATGGCTGGTTTGTTCTGAATTAAGGTACAGCCAAATCATGTAAGAAGCCTCATTTGCTGAGATGACATGTTACAGTAATAAACTTGTTGGTGTGGCTGGCTATATTTAGAAAAAAACATTTTGGGTGAAAGTGATAAGGTGGTGAAATGTATTAGGATTCATTCTATGTCTCCTGAAATCCATGACAAAATCTTGCATGAATGATATAGTGCCCTCTATGGTGGCATGCATGAATTCTTTTGATACTTGGTGTTTACCTCTCTGTCTATGAAAGGAACCTATGTCAATTTATTCATTATGCTCATCATGTATTAAATATATTACAATTCTCCAGAAAACATAAATTACACAAAAGTCTACAAAAATATTAATTACCTACTTCTAGTAGGGTCTTCATAATACATACACTGCAAAGCCTGCACACAACAGGCATTTAGATAAAGAGTCATCCTAGTCAATCAGAATGTGGTGTCAATAATTACTAGATTAATGCTGATTGAATATGATTAAAACTAAAAATGTTGGATGTTATATTATTAAAAATGTTATGTCTTGACATCCATTAATTTCTAGTGGTTGATCTACTAATCCCTTGTTATTGAATTGTAGCTATGTTACTACTCTGATGACTTATGGATAGTCTCAGATAACACTCTTCTGGGATTCTTCAGTTTCGGGATTAATTTTAAATTATGAAGTAAAAAACTTGTGCTACCCGAACTAGCTTCTTTTTAAATATGAACCTTAGTTGTATGCATGTTACCTGTATTCCAAACCCTGGTAGGGTTTAATGCTATAAAGGAAGTCAGAGTTTCTATAGAAACGGGTACATCCAATCTATATTAGGTCTTTGTCATGTATTGATGGAACCTTTTACTTGACAACATTTTTATTTTCACTAGTAAGTCTCATCAATTCTTAATTACTAATCTCTGATTCATTAAATTGTAGAAAGAATGATTTACATTTTGGAATATTAGAAATTACAAACTATGATACAATAGCTGTTTGTGTTTGTTTTGTTTTTTGCAGATAATATTGCTTTTTGCTCCTAATTCACCTATAATTTGCTAATATTTGGCAGACTTTTAAAGACTAAATGATGTATTATCTTTAGTCATAGCACCCTCATGTGTTTAAAATATTTTTTTTTTCTGAGTTAAGTAGGTGAATAATATGATTAATTAAGTAGCAAAATAATACATTCATTCCAAATTCCAGTACTTGAAAAGGCCTTGTCTGCTGCGTAGAGTACATCACACACTTGATATATATTATCTTTACAACTATTTACTATATGGTTTCTTTCTTGCCCTGAATGCTAAACAGTTTTGAATTAAATTGTCATGTGTTGGTTTGGATATTTTTGATGCTATATGTATGTTTGTTTTTGGATTTCAGAAGACTTAAATGGACTAACAATAATGTTCATAATTATAGTTTTAATAACGAAAGGTAACATAGTGTCCACATTTTTTGGTGACGGGGGTATATACCGGTATATATAGTTTATGGTATAATTAGTATTATTTATGAGACATACCCCGTCTCATCCATCAATTCAATTTGGTTTGGGTAATGTATCTGTACCTCAAATTCACAGCTAGCTATTTGTTGCCACCTTTTCATGTCTGTGTACAATAATTCAATCATTGTGTAGAGTGTCAAAACAATTCCAACATATTTATTTTGCTTGTTTTCATATTACAGATATTATAAAAATATTATAATTATGTACAACGAATAACATGCTTGTTGATAATTTATTTTTGTGTAAATCATCGAAAAAAAGTAAATGTGCACATTGTGGTTACTGCC